TTCACTGCTACAGTCAGCTGTTATGTGGCTGTTCCTGTTTGTGACTGCTGGTAGGTCATTGTCATGACTTCTACAACACCTTCCATACCATGGCTCTTCTGTGGACATGAGCTCAAAACAGTTTGGAGTAGGTTTTGTCCCTTGAAGAGCTCACCTACACTTCTGTTCATAACTTTTAGACACTACAGCTATGAAGATAATATCTGGTTAATAAAAGCAATCCCAATTCTTGAGGTTATTACAATGAATGCAAAATCATTGTATCCTCTGTATATATGAGACTTGCATTATGCCGTTACTATAAATATAAATTACTAGGTAGAGATATGTTTTGAGTATGGCTGTTGAGGAATCAGCCATGCTATTCTCCTGACAGGCAATGGGTTCTGCATGGCTAATTCCCTGAGAAATGGATGGACAATATTCTACGTTAATAGTAGAGAGAAAGAAAACTTTTTCACGCTTTGTAGGTGAAGGTAATCGGCTTTGCTCAAACTATTGAACTTAAATGATTTCTGTGTCTAGCATGCAGAGCAAAAAAGCCATTTCACAGCTTTTCACGAAAAGTGGCCAATCATTACCACAACCCTTGGGATTGCCTGTGATAACATTAATCATGATGAATTGGTGTGGCATCTGTGGGGTTATAATATGTAACTCTATGAGAATCCCATTGGGTTGTGTTTTCAGAGTACTGCAGACTAGGTTATATTCTTGTCTTCATCCACAGAGAACTTTTACCAGTCACTAACACTACTGTATTCACAATAGCACCTCAGCTGAATATTTGCTACAGTGAATAGGATGGATTTTTGCTTTTGTAAGGTCAGAACAATGAACTCACCTCTTCTGACATAAACAAACTTATCTAAGCAAGCTCCAAAATATATGATCACTGCAGAAATTAGAATCCTGAAGTAATCTTTAAAATCCTACAAGTGAGACGTTTGCTTAAGAAAGAGAGAGAGAAAGAGAGAGAGATCAAGGGAAAAACTTATCTCTTCCTGTGTGATTGATCTTTTTCTCCTGTGATTGCCCTCTGACCTGCAATAAATCATTTTAGAGTGTGTCAAGAAAATCTCTTCAATAGCTTTTGAGCTCAGAGGCGAACTGTTTTGTCTCTCAAAGTATTATCATTAAAACCTCCAAACAACTGCAGCTTTGCTGTTGTATTTCCCACCTCCAGTGAAGTTATGGAGATTTTCCTCTAAATTGATGTGAGTTGATAGGGTCTACTGAATGAGACCTATTGCTATCTGAAATACATATGCAATTGTAATGCTGTAGCAGCTATATAGAAGAAGCCTTTAATTTCCTTTAGAATGAAGAATCTAACAGGAAAGTCACACGGGAGAACTTTTAGCCCTGGTTTAAGAATTTGAGTGCTCATCTGAAAATATGGGTATTTTTAAAATAACCCTGTTTGAAAAAGAAAAAAAGGAAAGAAGGAGGGAAGGAGGGAAGGAGGGAAGGAAGGAAGGAAGGAAGGAAGGAAGAGAGAGAGAGGAGGGAAGAAGAAGAAGGAATGGAGGGAGGGAGGGAGGAGGAGGAAGGAAGGAAGGAAGGAAGGAAGGAAGGAAGGAAGGAAGGAAGGAAGGAAGGAAGGAAGGAAGGAAGGATGATGCTTAAACTGCTGCCACACTTGGTCTCAGGAGGCAGGAATAAGTATGAAACCTGACTCTCCTCTGACCTGTTTTCAGATGGTCTGATACTTCATGGTCATTTTCATGGTAAGTCGATTGTGGTTCTTCTACATAGTGAACCACTGTGTTTGCAAAACCACCTAAGCAACATCACAGCCTTGATGTGAAAATGATATGCAATACCTCCGCTGGGAGGGAAAGTAATGCCTTCTAACACCTGTTGGCCTCATAAAATGTGAATTTGGTGGCCTTTGTTGAATGCATCCTTCACAACTCATCCATTTGATGAGGAATTTGGAGGTGGCTGATGCCTCCTACAATGACAAAAAACCTGAAAAGGGATTCCTAAGGGAAGCTGAATCTGCTCCCATTAAAATGTTGAAAGTTACCATTATTAAGTTGTTATTAAACATATGTTAGGACATTTGGAATGGGCTTCATGTGGGTAAATATAGGAGTCTAAAACACAGATAACTACACCTGGTCTAGTAAACGCACACTTTTGTTAGCCATTGGAGACCAGAGAACAATTTGATACATACTGTCTAAAAGTTTCATCCTGAGAACATATTAAAAGTGTCTATTTCTTTCTGCGGGCTATTTATTTATTTATTTATTTATTTATTTTTCTTTCTGGAACTCTCAGAGATTAGCTCAGAGACAGATGTCAATATTTCAGATGTCTGATGTTAGGAGAGATGGATCCCTGGGGATCCAAAGCAATTTTATAGGCATTTTAAAAGTATAATTCTCAATCTAAATACACTAATAAATTCAGTAGGTATTAGATACTGACTTTTAATATGTTACTTATACATGTGAGTTTATTATATTCTTCATATTACATAAACTTGTGAAATTGCACTACTATTTAAATTCAATTTCTTGTGGTTTTGCTATTTACAACCCCCGCCCCTTGCTTCAAAGAGGCCCCCCACATCTTTACAGTAAAGCAGCCCAGAAATACCATTATGTAACTCCGATACCCTCCTAATCAGTTGGGCTCTGGCAGGGTGGGTAACCCAAAAGGCAGCGAGAATCTCCCGTACCTACGGCTTGTCCAGCTTCCTGTTCTCAGAACTATCGACCACAAGAAACTCCTGTGGTTACTAACAGAAGAAACAAGTTCCCTCCAATCTTCCAGTGCACCTTGTCAGTTGTGGTTTGTGAGAATTACACTGTGCTCTTATCCAAGGCAGTCAGGACTGGTGCAGGCACATCTCATACTGCGAATTTGGGGTCCTCAGCCTATGGCTTCGAACTTTCCGGCACAGTGGCTTCTTTCTGTGGGAAATTGTTCAAATTATTCCCACAAAGAAAACCATTGCCTTGTGAAAACTACCTGCGCACAATCACAACCACTCTGTGGGAATGAAACATAGCTTCCCTTGGAGATTTTTTTATTTATCATTTGTTTCTTTGCTATTGTGTGAGATGGTAGTCTGTGATGGAGATCTTGGCACCTTCTTCCATTTAACACTTTCTGGGGAAAAAAAATGAGCAACCTCTGTACATTTATATTATTGCTCTGACGTTACCTTTGCTGTGAGAAGGATAAACAACAAACCAGTTAATGACAGTGAGGTGGGAATTGGGTGATATGAAATGGCATGTTTCCTAATTAACCACCACCAACAATAATAGATGCTGCCAGCTTCTTCTGTTATAGCACAGCTACAGCAGGAAAACCTTTCTGGTGTACTTGGTGTCTCACTCTTTCAATTTCCTTGAGGCCTTTATGTACATTTGTTTCTCAATCTGACTCCAAAGTTCAGGCCTTGCAAAACATCCTCCTTTTCTCAAAGTTGCCCTGTGATCTGTCAGTGCATCTCTCACATTGCAGTTCTGTCCTGTGACTGCTTGGCTGTGATCCTGGTGGGATTACACCAGCCTCGAATGGGCATGTTTTCCCTGGTTGCTCCTAGCTATTCTGCAATAGCACCACTAAGCTCCGTCAAGGAAATAGCTGCAATTTTCTCTTCCCTAATGAATTTCATAATGTAATCAGTGGCAGGCCATGACTGAGAATGAAACTAAAACTTGATGTAATGGTCAGGCAAGAAATTTGACTTGGAGCTTTGTTTTGACTGGGTCCCAAATGAAGAGAGGCATTGCTGACAGCTCTGTGTATGCTCTGTGGATGCTGATGGCTCCAGAGGCTATAAAAATGTTCACAGTTTTTTGGTTTTGTCTTGTTTTCATTACCACTGTAATGTTGCTCCTTTCTGTGAAGTTTGGGTTGCCAGCTAATGACTTGGTTCCAGGGGCAGGAATGGCCTTTAACTCCCTGCAGAAATTAATTAAAGAAAATACAATAAAATCACACTGAGAGTTATTATGTGGAGTCTTGGCCTTCACTGGGTGCTGGGAGCAGACAGCTGAGAGCAGGTAGAAAGCTAAAGATGTTACCAAGCACCTGGGAAATCCCAGGAATATTCAGGTTTTGAGTATACTTGGGATGCAGAATGTACATTATTTGGTTGTAAAGCATCAGGGACTGGTGGAGGGCCATCATGCTTTACCCACACAAGGGTACACCTCCACGTAATTTTTGTACTCTTCAGCATGACCCAGTTAAGAATTGACCTAGCAGGGTGAGCACATGAAATGGCCGAGTGCTGACAAGCCTGACTCCTGCTCCCTTCCCTACTTCCCAATCTACCAGGCAAATTTAGCATCAGTTGAACATTTCAGCCAGGCAGAGGCAACATTTGGCTTGGTCCTGTATATCTTTTGCCAATCCAGGACTTTCAAGCCAAACATCTGTGGGAATCTGGTGACACACAAAGACCAGTATCAGGGGGATTTAACGAAAGAAGCAATTTGGCCTAGACAACATGTGGGCATGGGAGATGTCAAAACAATGCTGTATCAGGAGTAGGCTGCACTAGCAGTATGTTGTCAGAACAGCATGACTATTCATAGAATCACAGAATCAGAGAATGGATGAGGTTGGAAGGGACCTCTGAAGATCATCCAGTCCAACCCCCCTGCTGAGCAGGATCCCCTAGAGCACATTGTGCAGGATGAATATCTCCAGAGAAGGAGACTCCACAACCTCTCTGGGCAGCTTGTCCCAGTGCTCTGTCACCTCACAGTAAAGAAGTGCCCTCTCATATTCAGCCAGAACTTCCTGTGCTTAAATGTTTTCCTTCAACACATCAGCCCAAGCACAAGCCATGTGCCACCATAACTGCTGCAGCATCTTTAATGTCCCTTCATGATCTTAGATCTGGCTGTGACTCACTGTGATTATTGTAATACTGATTTCCCAGATGGATGGAAGAGAATAACTGTCTGGGAGCCCTCTCAGATTGCAACCAGAATAAAAGCCACTCATAGTTTTATTATTCTCAGCTGTGGCAGCCATCACTGTGCCAACCTTCCCCCAAGAGGAGCCTGGTCCAGACGTGTGGTTCCTTCCACTGGGCTGGTGTCTTAGGAGTCAGAACAATGAGAGCCATCTGGAAAGGTATCTGGAGTTTCTCCTCGCTGCGGGTGCTGCTTTCACACAGCTGAGGCTGGAGGTGAGCTTTCTTGATGGGCTTTTTGCTGGCTCATCATGCTGATAAGCACAATCCCACACTTCTGGAGAGCTTTGGAGGGTGAGGGAGGACTGGAATAGTTTAGCTGAAGTGCACACAAGGCTTCACAGAGTCATTTGTTACAACTGCTGTTCCACTGCCAAAATCTCTGCTATGGTCATTTGGCACCTGTCCGTGGAGTCGAGCACAACCATGCCAATTGCCACCAACAGAGACTTGGCCCTCTCTGCTGGAAAATCCCAGCCTTCCAGGATATGCTTATCTTACTAGAGCTATTTTATTTTGTCTGCAGCAGAGCTGGACAAGTGATTTGGCATTTTAAAAATGCTTATAAACGTTGAGGAGCTGTCATTGCCACAGCGGGCCCAGCTCCACAGCCCAAGTAGGAGAGCACTTTCTCTGCAGTGAAGACAAACAGCCCTCAACGGTGCTGACCCCTCTGGTGATCAGGACCCATAAAGAGGCAAATCTGCCCTGAGTTTTGTTGTAATACCCTTTCTTTTGGGCATGTCTAACCTGTCACCTGCCACGTCCATGCCCTGTGGCTCAACCCGTGGCTTTTGGGAATGTCTGTAAACTCCAGTGCTGTGATGACCTCCTTTCCTCCCCTTGCTTGGGATGCTCTGATGCTCTGCCCATTGGAATGTGGTTCCTCCTTCTAGATGGAGACTTACTGCTGCAGTTACAACACAGGTAACACAGAATATGGGCCTGCACACAGGGAAAAATCTTATGAAGCTGCTGATATGCACAAACTATTTCTGATTGGGTTCCAGGCAGACTGCTAGGTAGACTAAACTCAAAACTGGTCCATAGAACTGCATGGGAAGGTAGACAATCAACATGAGGCAGAATTAACAAACTGCTTCTTCTAAACTATGGAGGTTATGATATGATTTATTTTGTTTATGAAATTAAAAGTAAATATTAATACTAGCCACTGTTCTGGACCTTGATATTTTGCTTCAGTGATCAGATCATATGACCTTTGCAATGCCTTCAGTTAAGAAGAAAGGAAGAATGCTCTCACATTTTTCATAGTTCGGTGGTCTCAACCAGGCAGGCTTAATACTATGAGTGCAGTCTGCACTGAAGATCTGTTTCTCTTTTTTCTTGTTATTATTATTTGTTTGTTTGTTTGTTTGTTTGTTTATTAGGATGGCAAAACTACTCAATACTGAATACATAGAGTAGAATATGACAAATGTTAGCAGAAATGGTAAACATAAGTCTTGCAAGGCTGTCACCTCCACATAAACCTTCTACAGAGAGGTGGGAGATGAACTGCTGAGTGAATGATTCAAAATAACTGCAATAATTGTGGGTTGCTTTTCGGTTGCTCTTTGTGATAATGTGATTGCTTCAAAGTACATGATGTCTTCCCTCCCAGAACTCCAGTCAAAACACGGTTTGTTGAAAACAGCTCCCTTTTACACTTTGACTGCCTGGTATTTACATTCTTCGCTCATTGTTTGTTCTCGTTTTCTTCTTGCCTCCACAGAAATGCCTACTGAAAGTTGTGCCATTTGTTAGGGACAGACAGAAGATGTTGACTCTTCTGCCTTCTCTGCAGGAGTTTTCTGTGCAGTGATGCTCACCGCAGCTGTGTCTGATTTCCTGAATGGTGTGCAAGGTAAACGTGTGATCAATTAGCTGTACTACGTGACTGATGTGATCACATTTTCTAGGATTCATTGATTTTACAAACACAAAGTCCTGTTAGCATGTAGTCTGACCTTGCGCTTTCAGGGATTTGTTGCACAGGTCATTAAAAGCCCTTCTCTCCTTTGAGATCTGCAGGGCTATGCACTATTATATGTAAGGCTGATGCTTACATGCCAGTTTCCAGAGGTAAGCCCCAGCAGGAGATATGCAGTTGGAAACCAGGTATTTAGTTGTTGAAAGCTGGTATTTAGTTGTTATATATTTATTTTTTTCTCTTGAGATGTGGAAAAAAAAATATTCACATGCTGCAAATTAACTAAAAAGGGAACACTTAAATGGTAATCAGAGGCTTCCACACTTCTTAGAAGCAAGCATTCTCCTCACACCCCACAATTAACTTATTTCTAGGCAATTTACTAATTCTAATTAAATCCCTACACTTTGACTATATAGTCTCTATACAGTCAAAATTTCTATTAGAAGATCTGTTCCAAGGTGGAGGTCATTTATTTATTTATTTATTTATTTTCTGGAGACTATTTTTAACATTTTTGGATTTCATAAGTCTTCAGCTCAGGCTGCAGTTGCTTAGGAAATGGAGCAGGTAGGAGAGCTTTTTGTTTTGGGCTGTTTGCAGAAAAATTTAGCTGGCAGGGCAGGATGATCTCCAGTGGATGGTGTCCAGCACAAGGGGTATGAAATGTTGGTGACCAAAGGTTACAAGGTTCACTGGTCCGCCAGAGCACAGGCACAGACTTTTTTTTCCCACAATGGTCTGGGGTAAAGGATCCCATGTGTTCTACAGGAGTGGACACCACACTGTGCAATCCAAATGAATCCCAGCTCACTTTTTGTACCAGATTAAGGAGTGCAGTTGCTGTGTGTAGACTGCCCTTAAGTGGCTTTATTGGTTGACTGAGAAGAAAACTTTCAGGAAAAAAGTTTATTGATTTAGTCATCCTAACTGTACATACTACAGGCATGTGGGATGATCCCCAGATCGTCTAAATTATTGGTGGTCAACATATAGCATTTACCAATATAGACAAAATTAAATAGTGTTCTGCAGTTGGGAAATATGATAGTGCAAGGGGGTAAAAGTTCAAAAGTCTCTCAGAAAAGGAGCCTTGTAAAATACCTGTCATTTGTGAAACAGAGACTAAAACTCAATGAACCTCTTGTGCATGTGATAAGTTATTTGGGACTTCCTCACTCACAGCACTAGTTCAGGCCCTACCTGTTTGTTGTATTCCTCCCTGGTCATGTGAACGAAGAAGTATTGTCAACCTTGAGGCCATTAGAAATACTTTTACTGATTTCTGTAAATCTGAGATCAAGCTCTAAAGTAGTACAGTCAGAAATCAATAGAAGAAAAGAGAGAGAAAGAGAGAGAGAAAGAGAAAGAGAGAGATAGATAGGAAGGAAGGAAGGAAAGAAGGAAGGAAGGAAGGAAGGAAGGAAGGAAGGAAGGAAGGAAGGAAGGAAGGAAGGAAGGAAGGAAGGAAGGAAAGAGAGAGAAAGCGAGAAAGAAGAAAGAAGTATTTACTGAAGTTGGAATATTTTTTTTTTTGGCAGCTGGGCTAATAAACAGCACAGCCTGGTCAGAAAAGACTCTCTTCAACTTATATAGTGGTCATTCCTTCAATGCAGCCACAGTAGCAATGTTTAAATCAGTTTTTCTTTCATTTCACAGGCACCCTTGTTGCTCTATGCTTTATTATTATTATTATTTTGGGGAGGTGGTGGTGGTGGTGGTAAATGGGTAGCTTCTAATCAGTGCCTGAAAGAAAGTCAGCCCTGGCTGGTGGGGCTGCAGTAAAAAAGTGCATGTGTGTGACTAGAGCAGTTCAACTCCTAATCTGTTCCTCCTGTTAAAATACTCTTTATTGCTGGTTGTCAGTAAAGACTGACCAGTAAATAAAGGTTCCCACTCCATCTGGGTGCCAGATTACAGGGAGGGGAACTGCTCCCTTTGGATCTTCTTGACACATTTCCTAAATTGAAGCAAGGCTCTCTCTTTGCTTGGGAATAATTCCCAGCCATCATTAGAGGGAGCTGTTGCCCCAGAAAGCCCCAGCCTCCCCTTGCACTACTCCAGACCTGCTCTGAACTGCTGTGCAGCAAGAAAATTCAATTGATTCATGAGTTGGCACCTTTCTGTACTGCGCTGTCAATCATGTCAGTTCTTGAGGGTGCTTTGTAAATAAATATCTTCATTTTAATTTCGTTGGCTTTCTGTGCGCAACAGGAGAAAGATTTCTGAGCTGAACTGTGGTGGCACTGTGATCTTCCACTGCTGGCTAGGGGAGCTGGACAAGCCTCTTAGCCCTTCTGTTAACCTACATTAAAAAAGGAGGGGAAAGCTTTGACATAATTTTCTCCTGTCATTTCACCAGCCCTTTGTCTGAACCATCAGTCTTTTCCCTCATCCTGACCCTGTTCTCATTTCCATCACAACTGGAGTAATTGAAACCAAGCCAGGGAAGTTACATGGATGCAACTCCTCTGAATGAGATCAGAGTTGGACTTTTTGTGGAAAAGGACAAAGGCCTGGGACCAACATCTTAGCAAAGTCAAGCGTCTGACTCAGTAGTTAACCTTTGCTTTTAACCATTTTTATTGGAAAGAAATGTCAGGATTGTGGCTTGGGGCACCACCGTGTCTCAGTGGATTCAGTGGTTGTTTTCCTAAATGGGGATGGGCATGCTGTTAGGTTTTGTTTTCTGACGAGAAATGCGTGGAGATTAGATACATGGTGTCATTGACTAGTCACCGGTGTTATTCCAGGCTGATGATATCACATGGCGTATTTCATACCAAAAGGGAGTGTAGATTGAATTACTGCAGACCCAGCATGGGTTATACACGGAGTGTGTAACAGCATATTTTAGCCCTATGAAGCAATATGTGGGGTATTGTTTTAAATGTGCATGAGCTGAATTAAAAATGTCAGCTATCACGAGGGTTGTTTTTTTAACGGACAGGAACAATTGTGTAACTAGATCCCCGTGCTTATTAAACCTAATTCAGATCAGTGGATATAATTTAAATAGGAATGAATTTGCCTGTTTACTTTTACTATCTCAAAGCTGGGAGTTGGCCCACTTGCAGCAGAGGGACTGCGCCCTGTATACCTGTAAATCACCATTCTTAAAACTATGCAATTCATGCGAAGCAGATAAGGTTATCTCGGTATGTGCAGTTTTCCTCCTACTCTGCTGTTTTTCCTATGGAGCACACTCGGTAGTGTCTCTGCTCTGAGGTAATATTTCATTTTCCAAAGCAATTTGTCAGGTCTCTAAGTGTGACTATTCAGCATGTAAATTCGATGCATAATCCTACTGCTGTCATTTTACTCATTTAAACGGACTGAATACAAGGCATATTTTTGTAATCTGCCTGTGCTCTCTCGGGACAGCTTTGCAAATGACATGTTACATTCCCAAGTCTCAGCCAGGCTAAGAGGTTCATTCAGTGCCAATAAAGAGCAGTTATTTCCTAATAAGTATATTAACTGCTCAAAATGCAGTTCTGAAGATCTGAGGAGAAGCTCTGCTGGAGAGAAAGCAAGGGGGAGGGAAGCAGAGTGCCTCTGCTCAGATCATGCGTCCGTCAGGAGGGCTTCCAGCATCTGTATATTTGTTCCTGTGGGGTGACGCAGGGGCCTCATGTTTAGCTGCTCTGTGGTCAAAGGACATACCACCAAGGAGACAAGGAGACAGTGCCCAGGAGTAGAGCAAGCTTGCTGTAAGCTAGCAGCAGCCAGCATTGCCACCAAGAGAAGCAGGTCTGCCTGTTCCTGGCCTGCCTGTAACCACCCCTGAGCTCTTGACTCTGCACATTTTGGGGAGCAGCAAGGAAGGCCAAGATTTAGTGGTTGGCTTAGTGAGCTCAAAGTGGCAGGTTAACCTATCTGTGGAGACATTTAGACCATCTGCACAGGCAAAAGCTCCTGCCTGCCTCAGCCCCACAGTGCTGGGAATTTAAGTCCATAAATTAAAGGGCTGCAAATGGAGATCTGTTTTGCACACCCAGTGAAACCCCTGCCCATCTTTGTACCTTCATGCTATCTTGGGCCATTTGGTTCAATTAGTGCTTGCACCTCCTCCAGTGAGTTCCCTTTGCTGTTTCTCCTTTTGCTGTGTGGGGCTGTCAAGTCACGGGCTTACATTTCAAGGAAGGAAAAAAAAAAAAACCACAAAAACATTATTTTCATAAGGTTCAGAACTGAGCATTGGAACTCACTGCCACAGGATGCTGTAGAGGCCAAAAAAGTAAAGGAGTTTTCTTTAAAAAAGGGTTATGATAACCCATGAAGGAGGAGTATAGTGACATCTATTTAATACAATGATCTCAGGAAGGCCACTATTAGCTAATTGGTAGGAAAGGGATCATTCTGCACATAACCTGTTCTATTCTCTTTCTTAGAGCTTAATCTGCTCCCTCAATCCTCCCCTTAATCTGCCGGGGCTAAAGTTCAGGACAGCAAATGGGGCTGCTGGACTTTTGATCTGATCTAGCACAGCAGTTCCTCTAGTTCATAAACAATATTTTAATAATTTGTGAATGGAATTTAACACGTGGACATGCATCATCACACTTTGAGCATGCATTATCATCTGCAAATGCAGTAGCTTATCTAGCAAGCTGTACGGTCGTGTATTCTCAGGCAAGCACAAGATCTGGGTGTTAGCTTACAAACGTGAAGTTATCCAGTTCTGCACAACACAGATAAGGCCAGCTATGTTAAACTTCCGGTGTATTTACTCCAGCTGGTACTCAGCTTTGGACACCAAAGCTTTAAGAAGAAAGGAGAGCTGTGAAACTTCCTCTCTTCAGTACACAGCTTTAATTACAATCAATTATTTATCCCACAAATGACTATTTGTAACTGAATATCTCCAAGGAATATATGAAGACTGAATTTGCTTTTATTTGCATGGGAATGATTAATTTGCAGTTACTGGA